GTTTGTAAAAAATGAATCCGCCTCAACAATATATAACTTATCTATAAATCTATTTATTTTCAAAGTACATTAAAACGCAAAGCAGTTTCCAAGCCAGAATAAATATCGTGTAAATTTTTTTTTTGAGGAAGCAAATGAAGGTTTTTCTGCATCCTTGGGAAAGGTTGATCTTCTAATTAATTAAAGCTGATTAGAGCCGAGGATTCTCATTTTGGACCTTCATAATCCAAATCGTAGAACCGGCTCTGATCAATGCACTGCGAAATTTACACCGACTGGCAATTATTTAACGAGTCACAGGCGTTAATTGAGTTGGTCATTTTCTACAACGTTCACACAGTTCAGAGAGGAAGTTAATCTGTGAACTGCGAATGTAATAACATTTTTGCGTTGTAAATTAAAAAGTTCAAGTAATCGCTGGCATGAAGCAAATTTAGTTCTACCATCTTTAGACAATGTGTGCAGCGGTTAATTATTTAAAAACACTTTTGTAACTGTAATTTTGCCAAAAATGCATGTAGTATCGAGAATCAAACAGCTTGGGTGCAAGAAATGCAAATTGAAACTTTTCTTCTCCTTAATTATATTTTATAATTGTAAATACAACTACAAATATTATATCTGTTTTTATGAAAAAAATTGCTAAATATAAACTTGAGCGGACAAAGCGTTACTACTTCAAGGCAAAGCTTTTCAGTTGGCAACCAATTCTTTTACGCCCCTTATTCATCATTTTTACCTGATGTTAAGCCTAGTTTATTAATTCACTTGAACTTTCGACTTTTCAAGAAAGGCCCCCCAACAAAGTACAATTCCGCCGGAAACTGATTTAAGAGAATGATTAATGATGCAATCAATAATCGCACAATGGCTTTTTGAATAAGCGACAAAGTACGAAACCAGCACAAAAATTAATAGATTAGCATTTAAAATGTGCTTATTGACTTGAAATGTATTCTTAATGAGTTTCGATGTTCCATGTTGGAATCAGTTCGAAACTCATTAATAAAGAGTAAAGTGCTTGGAGAAGTTTGCATGTTGCTTTTAGGTTTTCTGCCTTACGGAAGGGTCTATTTTTAGTATACGCTCTTTAATCAGCAGCTTAACGAAGTAGATGCCGGATATTGCTGATTGTAGAAGAGTTTTTTGCTCTAGTGTAATATTTTACACTAAGACATCATTAATTTTCACCGTATCAGGTCGCTATTAATACAGGTTCCATGCGGAAAATTGGAAGTTACTAATTGTAAATTGTTAATTAAATTTTTATTACTTCGAAATTATGTATGCATTCTATAGGCGACCCATCACGAAAATAATAAAACTCATTTATGATATAAAAATATTAACATAAATATGTATTTTAATCGCTTTGTAGTATTTAAGAAAAATCATTTGGAGGTAAACAATTCTTGAATAAAAACGGACTGTCCAGATTCAGAAGTTTTTCGACCACAAGGAAAGTCTCCAACAACTGAAATGTTTTTCTTTAAATTTTGGTAAAATTGTACTTAAAATTTTTGTCATCATTCAGTGAGAATGAGAAATAAAAAAAACAGAAAATATCGAAATGTTCATAATCAAATCATATTTGCTTGAGAAAGAAGCGGAAGGGCAAATGTCCAATAAACCAACTCGAAGTTACTGAACCTAATTCTGAAACTAAACAATACGAAGCAACAAAAATCAAACCTAAAATCCATGAAATTAGTCGAAAATAAACGAATCATATAGTGAAAATTTGCATATAAATTATCATTGTTACATATGTTGGTAACTTTTTCCTTTGAAACCTACCTAAAAAATTTAATGATTTTTTTCGAATTTATGGAAATATGTATTTAACGAGCTGAAAGATCAATTTAAACGATAAACTTATTGGCAACGAATAAAGATAAATTATTGTTTTTCCATAAGTGGCCAGAAACACAAAATAAAAATATTTCCTTGGTTAGAGAATCAACGAAAATTCAAAATAAAGAAGCGCAAAAAAGAAAAACAAACAATTTAATACATCTAAGCTGTAGTTCTGAAGAATAAATTCATTAATTTCTTCATTATGAGAAAAAAATTATTGAAATCAAAATAGAAAACTGCAATATTAAAAAACAAACAAAAAAATGAAGTAGCGCTAACATATATTAAAAACATTTGTCAATATAAAATTGTTATAAACCATATATTTGTTACAAGAGAGTGAATACGCTGTTGGTTATTTAAGATGTTACCAATATGTTTTATTTACAATTCCTAGATTTTTATATCTGTGTACGTGAATTCTTTCGGTAATTAGTTATTTATTATATATTATGATAAATAAAATTAATTATTATTACAGTAAAGTTATATTGTCTTGTAACTGTAGTAACTTCTTAGTCCAGATTTCATCGCAGTTCTAATAAGTTTTAGATTTTATTCACGGTCCATTCAATTTTCATCAAATTAAGGCAACAGACGAAAAGACATACACAAACTACGATTCCAAGACGTTGAACAGATGACGACCGTCATTCGCTCGTAAAAAATACTTTTATAGCTGTAAGTAGCTGTTCAGCAGCCATGGCACGTCCAGTGCATATGTGCTCATACTAGACAAATTTCCTAAAAATAAATATTTTGAATTTTGGTACCATTCCTTGCACAAGACTAGGCCTAAAGTCCCTCAACAATGTTCCTTTAAGGAGCCTCAATCATTTGGCTTGTATGGAACTTCTGAGAAGAGAGAACAGCTTGTTCCCAACTAAATCCATAAAGAAAACAGAAATAGTCATGTTGTTTGATAAACAGTTCTCCGAGCTCATTTAATTGCTGAGGAGAACTCAAAATTTCTTCAGCAATTTACAGACCATTTTTTAACAATTAATGCGACAAAACTAATTTTTGGTAGCTGATTTTTACTTGACAAAAAATTGTTAAATTTATTGAAATAGTCGCAACTGAAAACTAATGAATTAAACTTGCAAGCGTGAAAGCACTTGAAGATCAAAGTATTTAGTAATGTTAAAGAGCATCAATAAATTAGGAACATACATATTCGGTCTAATCAGCCCACGAATGTGTCGTCGAAATTTCGAAAAGTATTGCCCTCGATGTTGGGACATGAAAATCTAATTATCCGGTTCCAGTTTCGTGTGTGGAAGTTTCCAATTAGACTATAGAAGTTGGCGACACAAATTCGACTAGTAATTTATGCCATCAACATTAGCTGATTGTTTTTACTAGATTTAAACATTAATCATTTATTTGCCATCAGCATTTGCAGGTGCAAAAGTTGGAAACTCCGTGTGATTTAATCGATATTATCTTTGGATTTATTTTTATTTTTAGGCTCGATTGCTTTATATGTTACTTATTTTCAATCTAACTCAAATGTTGATTCATCAGCATCATCGTCATTATCATCATCAAGCCTTTCTTGGATATTCTCCCATATGTGCCTTTTGACTGTTATTTGTACTTGATTTTGGCTTATTATCTTCGTTTTTGTTTCACTCATTTTTAAACCGATTTCTCAACATTCTCTGTCTAGTTCGGAAAGCATTTTTTCAAAGTCGGCTGTGTTGTGAGCGAATAGAACAATATCGTCTTAAAATCTTAAATGTGATCATTTGGCTCCATTTATGTTCTGTCCTATATTTCCCCATTCAAGCTTTTTGAAACGGCTTGGAAAGTTTTGATCAAGCCGAAACGATTAATTTTTTTGCGGGCAAACTAGTGCTCTTAAGAAAAAACAACAAGAGACAAGAAAGTTGATAAATAATTAGCAGTAATTAAAAAAATTGTGCTGATAAAAGTTTAAGTGCACACAAAAAAGTTCTGAACAAACAAAAGTAAGGGTTCCACATTTCGCGTAATTTGTACCCAGTTTAATTGCTTTGTAAATGCAAATGTATATTTTTTTCAGGAAGTTTCAGAAGCAAAAGGAAAAAATCTGCAAAACAATATATCAAGGCATTATATCAGTGAACAAATGTACCGAGACCATAAATTTTACAGCTTTTGATAGCGAGGCAATGTATGGCAGTGAAACCGATTTTATGCGATACAACCGTGAGTATTTAATGGCATTTTTGAAAATGGGTCTCAATATTCATGCACACAACACGAAAACACGAAAATACGAATTTATAATTCATACAGGAATACCGCAAAAAAAAGATTGACAAAAAATTGCAGTCTAGCAGTGACTAAAAGTTTCACTGTAAAAATAGAAAACCAAACGAACTGTAATCTAAATAAAATTGGATTTTAGATTGATGCAAGTGGCTTAATCTAGAAACAAATCGATTTTTTATCGTCGATAAAAAACAAACTTTAGCTGTTCAAAATGCCTTTTAAATCGAGTTTTAATGGTAAGTGATATCAAATGGGTCAAACGGGCTGAAATTAATTCGATATTTCAATTTGCCAAGACGCTGATACTTTTCAAATAACATGTCAATATAAACTAATGATTTTGAAATGAAAAGAAAAAATTTGCTTTATAAATAAGTCCAAAAACTGTTCGTGTTGGTATTAAGAGTAAATGAAGMAACTTATCGGATCTTAGAATCGGCTGGCAGTAGAAAATAAAAAAAACTAAATTTGTTGCTAAAATAACTGCAAACTATTTTTTACTTTTGCATGTCGCCATCATTTTCACATTAAGATATACATTTGATARCTTCATTAGAAAGCTAAGTTTCCTCAATCTTGAAACTGTAATCACTAAATCTCTGTAACTTCTCAACTACTAATTCGGTTTTAGTCAACTTAAGCYTGACTGGATGAGAAATGGAGGTACTTTGTATTATAGTTTCAGGCCTATCTCGATAGCTCTTAATAAAATTGTAATTAATAATTATAGTAGGTATTAATAATGTTGATTAATTAGCGTAATATTTTGTGTGCTTTAGTCGCGAATACTTAAACCTTACGGTATAATTACGATATTGTTAGTATAGGAAATACATACACATTAATTTTACACAACAAAGCATTTTATAAATTGTGTAACGAAAAACATAATTTTAAGAGTATTTAGATGCCAACTGGACATTTTAWTTGTTTTCATCTTTAATGCAATTTTCTTATTTTTTTCTTTGTTTTCTTTGCTTTSCTTYGATTTTTAAGGCGMSATAATGAAATTGTAGCTSAATTAGAAAGTTGAACAAGTGKAAATTTAAAATCCTAAGAAATCTATTGTTTCAACAACTAATTTAAAAAATATAAAACTTTTAGTAACGCTTGACGAGTTTCAGATAWCAAACTGCTGTYTGCTCGTTTYCTGTTACAAATTKAATATGWTTTTCGTYTATGACATTATAATTAACTTTCCAGGMTCAAGCCAAAGAAACTGTTTTGATTGAATCAATGAAATTATGATCTGAATCATGATTTCATTGATTTTTTTTGATTGATTTCATGAAACTSAATCAATAAATTATTATTATTTATTATCAATTTAATTTAATTTTCAACAGATGATGCATAAAAGTAATTACATTTTCTTTTCGCACAAACATCATATTGCAAAAATCGCG